ATAACCAAAACGGAATAAACCAAAACATAATTATTCCTAATTAAATTCAAAGAAACAATTGAATAATAACTAATTCCTCAACTAAACGTTCCCCAGTGTTACAACCTATCAGAGCACGACACTGACATGCGGACTTAAAGTAACATAGCTCTAGAGCCATCCTCACCAACTCCTGAGCTGCTAACTTTAATCTGAAATTGTTAAAGTAAGGGTGAGATTTCTCATAATTAACATGCATTATAAGCTTCTCAATCAACATTATATCACAAGCATATTATTTCACCCATTTTAGCATAAATTCAGATTCAACACGCAGTTCCAATCATACAAGTCATTATGCACAAATCAATAATCAACCAAAGAATTGTAACACTGGAAGACATCCTAACATGTTACAATTCCATGCAAACACAAATGCAGACACAATGCATGTGGTACCAACACGTGACCAAGTCACCCAACATTGATCCATCATCAACCGGATACAGCAACCATCGATTCGTCCATAAACACCCGGACACGAATCCAGCCTAACCACCCATCATCACCCGGGTATCGGTTAACGACAATACAAGTCAAATTCCACACAATGGGAATTAACTTCACCAAAACAATGCATATGCACGCACATCACTAGCATGCAACATCAAATTAGTATATGAAATACATCAATTTATCATAACTGAACCAAAACCAAAAACATGATATCTCAACGATCATGCACACCATCATTAGCAACATAAACATGCCTTTCATTCACACAATACTAATACATCCATCCATCACAGGTTCACTGCTACATACACACCCATGTGCGTTAGCCAATAATCACTTATTCCAGGATTTGACTCATTTTCAAAATAATTTCAGGTTTTAGGAAATCTTTTAATTTTATAAAATAGAGCATTAAATTTAAGAAATAACGTCTAAAACGGCACTCAAAACGGACTTACGGTTTGAAAGTTATGAATTTTCAAAGTTTAATATTTTTCAAAAAGTTACAGCAGAACCCGGTTCCTACATATGCAGGAACCGGTTCCTGCGAAGTTCAAAAATCACGCTTCTGGAAAATGTATGGGAGCCCGGTTCCTACCTATACAGGAACCGGTTCCTACGTGCATTTTTGCCAATTTTTATAAATTCACGCAGTGGAACCCGGTTCCTCCCCACTGGGAACCGGTTCCCACGACCTGCAGAGTCAAATTCTGCACTTTTGACAGCATTTATTCATTCTAAACCAATTCCAAACATACCCATACGAATTGCAACATGAGAAACACCAAAACACATCCATTTTACACCATTATAACATCAAACAACATTATTTCATCATTCCTTTTTATCATCTGACACCCTAATGGTTTTCAACCTACAATTCAACGCAATAGGGACAATTCTACGGAACCCTAGAATTCTAAACCGGGATTCCCTAACATACTATGATACATACTATTGAATATCTAAACCGATAATACGAATTAACTAATCGAAATCACCCCTTACCTTGTGGGTTCTTCGAATTCTGACGCTTCCGGTTTTCTCCTTCTTTTTCCTCTTCTCAAATGCGCGTATGATGAATATTCCAAAATAACTCTCTTTCTCTTCTTTTTCCTTTTAATACTCCTTTTATTATTCCAATAAAATAATTAAATTAGTAATTAGTAAGAGTAGAGTATTTTACCCCTCACACCCTCTAATCACTCTTCACACCACCAATACTTCTTTCCTTTAATTAATTAAATTAATTCCAATAATCCAAAAATACCAATAATTAAATTTCCAATTAAATTAATAATTAAAAATTCTAATTATTTAATAATCGGATTATTTGGGGTGTCACAATCCAACCTTGACCAATGCACATATATAAGTTCAAAATGTTGATATGGGTTAAAATTATGAAGTTTGATTATAAATTGTCCATATTTGACTTTTCTCCCAATACAATTGATTTTAGGTCAACTGATCAATTGAATGAGCAAAAATGTGATCCAAAGTTTGAAACTTGACATGAGCAATCTTGAAAGTTAAAAATAATCCATGAAAGTCATATGGGGCAGTAAAAGTCCAATTGTACTTGTGCAAACTCAAACCCTAATTTTGAGTCATCAGTGCTTGATGAGGTGTCTTGAGCTAATCCATCCTTGTGCATTCTTGAACCAAAAGACATCTTGTGAGAGAAATCTTGAGAAAATGAGAGGGTAAATTTTGGGGTACAACAGTGTCAGTTAAACCGAAAAGTGTAGCCACTTAACCTAAGAATTATTCCATTATAATGAAACATACAAGTAGGCTTCCATTCGCAAGATGAGACTCCACTTTTAAAATTACAACTGAGACATTGAATTTGCAACTGAGCCGTTGAAATTGCAACTTTTCCATATAGCTTATAGTTTGAAACATTAAAAAATATATAAAATTATATAATGTAAAAAATCAACAAAATTGAGAAAGAAAGAATATTGACAATGAAAGATAAAATGATTAAACCCCACCATATGAAATTGTCACCCTATCCTATAATATCTCATAGAGAATCATCACTTATTAAGAATAGGTAAGATATTTGCTAATCAGTAGACATAAAAAACAAACATTATGGACAAGAGAACCAGTCATATATTAGTCACTGTAAATAGATTCTAGTCAGCAGGAAGTTGGACATGTAGAACACCAAAACCCTTAAGATTTTTTTAGTTATTTCAACACTTAACTTCAAGAAGAAATGCAACTATTCCCAATTCAAAACCACAACTACTACTTTAGGGAGACATTTGCACACAAAAAATAACATAAAGTAGGTGTGACGATGTCACATTGCAAGATTTGGATGATTTCGAACCACACGAACCATTGATAGCTTTCAAATTATAAGGGTATTCCTGCTTTGGATGACCATTTCTAGTACCAATAGTAGTCACAATGATATGTCCAGTTTCCGTTCCATTGTCGCTGTCAACAACGGTAGCTTCCATTTCCTACAACAGAATAAAATTGTAAGCAACACACACAAAATAAAATTAAGTGTTCAGAATGAACAAAATGAGCACCATACCTTATCATCCTTAATTTTCATATAATTAATTTTCTCTGGCAATACTTCAACACCAATTTCACCATGACTGTTGCTTTATCTAAACCTCAAAGTTGGTGCCACGCCAACCGACACCATCTCAACTGAAACCCTTTCGGTTGTAACCACTCAAATACTAATCAACTACCTGCGCGAATGAAAAAACCCATCACACTAAAAAACATTTCTTTATTAGGAAAATCAAAATCACATCAACAACAAAACCAACCAACACAAATTAAAAGCAATAAAAAAAACATGTTGTAATAAAAAGTCAATAAATTCCATGTAAACACCACAAAATGAAATGGAAAACACATATTCGAAATGAAAAAGTGAGGAAAAATGAAAATCCTTAAATTGAAGATCGCTATAATCGAACTGATCTAAATTTACAAAATAAAATTAACCAACAAATAGAGTTATACATTCATTTTTTTCACTAAAGAGATTTCAATCCGATTTAGTTTACTGCGTATCTTCCCTCTTCTGCGATTTAGTTTTTTTCACCAAACCTGAAACAACAAACACTAAATCAACAAAAATCAGGAAAAATAAATGAAACCTTAAAATCACAATCCAACTTATTCGTACACCGTAAACCGATTTGCACACTATTATTATTTTGGTGTGATACAAATATACCAAAAGAGAGAGAAAATGATGGTGATGATGTTGTTACATAATGAAGATTGAGGTAGAGGAAGAAGAAGAAGAGGGAAAAGGTTGACAAAGAGGAAGAAGAAGGACCTTCGGTCCATTGTTGAGAGTGAGAGAGAGACCAAAGATTCTTAATTTTTTTTTAAATTTGAACTAAAGTAACACTGAAAGAAGAGAAAGTAGTAATATGAAATTTAAATGAGACCAAGTGACATCATCCATCTGTTCCAACCTAATGATCAAAGACAAAAAAAAACAACAACTATATAATTGAAATAGAATTATATGGCATCATTTTAGAGAAGTGGCGGAATAAGAGAAAATGGTAGAAAAATATTTTCCAAAACCCTAAATTTTCTTATACGATAGATATTTGCGCTTTTACAAATGAAATTAAATACATCCTAATATGTTATCTTTGAATATTTAAAAATTACACTTTTATAAGTTTAGTTTTTTATCTTTATTAAATTTTATTAATTCAAATATAACTCAAAATAATTAAAATGTTGTTTAAAAAAAACTATACATAAATAAAAAAAATAATTTAATGAAAATACACCAACAATATAAAATGTCAGTAAAATCATAACCATTAATTTTTATAAAAATTTATTTATTTTTTAAAATTACATATAAAATATTTACTTTTAAAGGTTGTTGTGATGCACTAAAAATATTTTAAATCGACAATGCCTGAAAAGAAAATGCGGTGAAAGTGAAAGTAAAACTAAAACGAGAATGCCCGTAGAGATAACCAGTTATACGCAAAATAAAAAGGAACCCGAATAAAAAAAAAAGAAATAAGAATTAAGGATTATCGAGGAGGTGGAGGAAAAGAGCAGAGACTGTAGACGGAGCGATAAATCGCAGATCTATCCATCGGAGAAGAACATAGCAAAGCGCGTGCTTCTCTCCGTCACGCGCCGCGGTAAACTCTTCTTCCCTCTTCATCTCTCTCAGTCTCTTCGTTTCATTCTGTTTATTTCATCGAAACATTATCGTCCGTCTCTCAAATTGCTGATTTACTTCATTCGTTTTTGCTTCATCTCCGATTGCATTACCATACAAGTTATAGCAGCACTGTTGTGTAGCGGAATTTGATCAAATCGCTATTTTTTTCAAGATATGCAATAAATAATCTTGCTTCTTTTGCAATATTGTTTTTAGTTTTTATACTGTTTAAAAGAAATGATGTGTATTGTTTGTTTTTTCAGAGCTCTGTGCTGGTTCTTGTTGCTTTTTTATTTCATGAGATTGAGATTCCATGGCAAGCATTCCTGGAAAATTTGCTCCTTCTAATGGGTCTATCTATGTATGCAACCTGCCTCATGGGACCGACGATAATATGTTGGCTGAATATTTTGGTACCATTGGAGTAATAAAGGTATTGAGCCTGCAGCTATCCTTCAAAATGATGCTATGTTATTGTCCAATTTTCATTTTTTTAGGAAATGAAATTTTATCAGGGTTTTGGTAATGTTTGGGACTTTATCCTGATCAGTTTGGAAAGTCATTTTTTTTATGTAAGATGTGATTACTTGAATGATTTTTTTGTCCTTGCAAAGTGAGGACTTTATTTGGGATTTGGGATTCCTAAATGATTGATTTGTTTTTTGTTGCATTTCATTTTCCTCTTTACGTGGTTCTGTTTTTCTGCGTCACCTTCTATTTCCAAATTATCAGTCATTTTTCATTTACAATTCATGTTTTGCAGAAAGATAAACGTACAGGAAGACCTAAAATATGGTTATATCGAGACAAAGAGACTAATGAACCAAAGGGAGATGCTACCGTGACATATGAGGATCCACATGCTGCCGTGGCTGCTGTTGAATGGTTTAACAACAAAGATTTTCATGGCAATGCAATTGGAGTTTATATAGCTGAGTCAAAAAACAAGGATGACCAAACTTATAATTCAATAGCAGATCCGGTTGTTGCTGGTGATGTTGTTGGACCAGAAGAAACTGAAACTGATGTTAATGGTGTTAATGGAGGAGGTATAGGTCAAATTGATGCTTCTAGCAAACCATGGCAACAAGAGGGCGATTGGATGTGTCCGAATACAAGGTCTGTGATATGAGATTGGTGAGCAGCTCTTTCTTGCTCTTTTAGGCACTGTTTCAGTCGTAGTAGTTTTTTTTTGGTGCAGGAAGATCAAAACATTTTTCTTATCATTGCAGTTGCTCCAATGTGAATTTTGCTTTTCGTGGTGCGTGTAATCGCTGTGGAAGTGCACGCCCTGCTGGTGCTTCTGGTGTTGCAGGAGGAGGTGGCCGTGGCAGGGGACGTTCTGGGCAAGATCCTGGGGGTATTGGCCGTCCAGCAGGTGCAACTGCAGGACTATTTGGTCCCAATGACTGGTCTTGTCCAATGTACGATTTTGTCATATTGTTCCCACATTCTTTTTGTGTGTGTGATTTACTTATACTTGGTTTCATTTTAATTTTTGTTTTTTCCATTCAAATTTTAATATTTTACTGATATCATTTTGCATGTATAAATATCTTACAATTTAATAGACATGTTGCTCCGACTCATCAATTGGGTTACTGTAGTGCTATATCATGTTGGACTTAGTGTCGGCGAACATTTAAACCATGTGTAAATTGAATATGATGGTGAGATTTATGTTTGTACATGTGTAACACAAAAACACAACATACTCTTGTGAATGAAATGAACATGGCTCAAACAGGAGTTAATGCTAGCTGTTTTCTTTGATTTATATCTCCTAACTTTGCACTTTGCATGGTTGGCTGCATCATGTTTGTTAATTTTGTAAGGAAAAGTTATATATTAGCCAAATTGCATTCCTTTTTGCCTTTAGTACTAATTTAGGCACATACCAACCCAATCTATCATTCCTTCTTCTGCTATTCTAGTTCTCTATGAATTTAAAGGAAGCAATCATCATGTGAGATGTGATTGAGCGTAAATCTAGTGACCTTTCCAAACTTAAAGTCACATAAGGCCAACTGATTCTGTTACAGTTTACAGACAATAAGTGGTTGTAGGCTGTTAACAATATGACGATGGGTTAGAGCTTTGGCACCGGGTAAGATGACGTTGAGGTGAGCTTGATAACTTCTTTGACGTTGTTGGTAACTCCTCCCCTACTCAACCTCTATATCCTCTGTCTCTTCTGTCCTTGTGGGTTATGGCAGTTGATTTTGCATTTTGATTGCAGTTGTTGTAGCAAATATGGGGTTAAGATTGTATATTTTTGGAACTTGAGTCTTTATTGCAAGCTGGCTATATGATTTGGGCTCATTGTCAGTTATATCATCATTAGTTTAATTCATTTGAATGAGTCTTGCTCTACTCAACTGAACGTTAGGCTGAGGCTGCTATACTTGTACCTGACGTTAAACTTGGAATTAACATGCATGATGTGGTTTGTTCAGGATTTTTATTTTATATCAAATTTTTTTTCTTTTTGAATGGTTTTTAATTGAAAGTCTTAATGTACTGATTTATCTTTTTGTCTTTTTTTGTTGCATAGGTGTGGCAATATCAATTGGGCAAAGCGGTTAAAATGCAATATTTGCAATACAAATAAGCCTGGGCACAACGAGGGTGGTGTAAGGTATTATATTTAATTCTTTGTGTACCTTCAAGTATGTACTATCAGTGACACCTCTGAATGGCTATGAAGACTCATACAACTTCTTTACATTTTAAAAGATAAATGATAACCAAGTTAAAAGCTGTAATTCGTAAAGCAAGTTTTAAAACATAAAATCGCTAAGTATACAATCTTTTTCACGGTAAATGTCCATTTCATTTGTTTCACAGTATGTAGGTGTGGTTTCCCCCTCTAACCTCTTTTTGCAAATTGTATTGCATTTTGTTTAGGGGAAATTGTGAACTATTTCTTCCCTAGAGACACTAAGTTTCAAATTAGGAACTCAACAAAATAACAATGAAAGTCTTTTACCACCTGTTGGGTTGGCTACATTGATCAAACAACACTATAATGTCCTGCCACGGATTAAGTCCAATGATAAACCTTAAGTTAATATCTCATAATGGTTTAACCTATCTTTTTCTTAGTCTTTTTTGAAGTCGTGCAGTTTGGTTAAAAGAAGGAGAAGATAAATAGTGAAAACTTAATATTATTATTATTATTATGATGATGATGATGATGATGATGATGATGAATATTATGAACAATAAACTCGACACCAAAGGACTAAACACCAACCTCTATATATGGGGATGCACCACTCCTTATATGGTTTAACCTTACTTTTCTAACTCAGCCGAACCACTTAATGGGATAAGGCTTGGTTGTTGTTGTTTTCTAACTCAGGTTATTTTCTAATTAAACAGAGGAGGGCGGGCTGGAGGGTATAAAGAGCTTGATGAAGAGGAAATTGAAGAAACTAAACGTCGTAGGCGGCAGGCTGAAGTAAGATTATTTTAAGACCATGCATGCTATAAATATACTTCCTCTGTCCCAAATTATAATATTGATCCATGTCATAGAGATTCGACAAAGTATTACGTTGGCTGCCGACTGCTTAACACAACCCTCTCATTTTATCATAACAAAGCTAATGTAGGCAGGATTTAGAGTATGACTTATTAAGAAAACCAAAACATAACAATTTGGAGTATGACTTTTTGTTTTTTCTTTGGAATAAGTTTCATAGGAAGATGTAAAAATAATTTTCATTGCACTTAATTTTACATTGAAAAAGATACATTTTTGCTACAAAGTGATTAAGTATAGTTAAAGTTGATTTTTTTCCTTATAATTTGGGACAAAAAATGAGTTTATTTTTTTTGGCTTATAAATTGGGACAGCGGGGGTATATATTTAAATGACTCTGGTTTATGATTTGTTTTTCTACCACCAGGATGATGGTGAGCTGTATGATGAATTTGGAAACCTTAAGAAGAAATTCCGTGCCAAAACACAGCAATCTGAAGCTGCACGAGTGCTTCCTGGTTCAGGGCGTGCTGGTTGGGAGGTTGAGGATCTAGGTAATGTTGCATACCTGGAATTATTTGTCGCCTTTAAATGTTAAAGAGAAAGCTGAAGCTGCAACTTTGCAGACTTGTCAAGCTCTATAACCGCACCCACCCTTCTTTCCCTTCTCCATCACAGTTTTCAGTTTTCCCATTATGGCCGTAGAGGAATTAACATTGTCAAATACTTTCATGTTATCCTATTATACTTTTGTTATTTATTTTAGTCATTCCTTTTTAACATTTTTTTGCAACAGGTTGGTTGCATCTTTTTAGATTTAAACCTGCATACTATTTCCAAACCAATTATTATTTGTCTTAACGTATTTATGTATATGTACTGATTGATTGTCTGACTCGGGTTTGATGGCCATGCATAAAACTAAATTCCACTGGCTGTTGGTTTTGGAGCATTCTAAAAATAATACTACAGTGTTGCCATATATTCTTGTGTCCTATGTAGAGAATCTCTACTAGAGATCGTAGATTCAAGTTATGCCTAAGATGTCCAATTTGCAAAAAATGTTCCACAAGTTATTGTGTCACTCTGATATGTGATCATGTTTGTATGAAATTCTGAATTGGTTCAACCTGCTATAACCAACTTACTCTTTATAACACCTATGACAGGGATTCACAGAGATGCTACAGAAAAAAGCAGAGACAGGGGAAGGGACCGTGATGGTGGAGAGCAGAGAAGCAGAGAGCCAATCGAGAAGGAGAGGCAAAGCAGTCGGAATAGAGAGAGGGACAGAGGAAGAGATCGAGACAGGGATTATGGGCGAGATCGGGACCGGAGTAGACACCGATATTAAAAATAGCAGTAGAAGTGCACTCTGATGTTTTGACTCTGATTATGTGTTGCCTTTTTGACTAGAGATTTCATTTGCTTTGAAAATTTATCCTGCAATCTGATGAATGCATGGACCTTTTGTATAACCAAATATCTTTATGCTGTTAGTATTAACTTGGACAAATTTGTATTTGAGAATATTCACAGTAGTTTGAACTTATTAGCATCTTGTCTGCTTCATGTGTGTATCTTATTACCGCACAACTATATGTACGCCTATTAATCTGAATTGGATTATATGAATTAAAATATTAATTTTTTTATCCAATAAACCTAAAAACTAGGATTGGGAGAAGAAATGAGATAATAGAGACGATGGTATACCCTTAAGGTTATTTCAACACTCAAAGCAGCAAAGTCAGAGAAGAGAAACTTGGAAGTGTGTAATGAGTTATATGTTGTGGTTTGACGCCGGAGTCACATTTATATTAGTTGAAAGTGTTCCATGTGAATGCGATGCACTATGCAAGAGGATTGTTAGATGTCGTGTCTGACTTTTATACGGGTCTCCCTCGTGGGAGGGATTTAGATAATTTCAATCTTATCTGTTTAATTAATTAATCCAATATTTTAATTAAGGAAACTTCTGTTTACACGAAATGTTGAAAACGTTTGAAAAAATAAAAATATTATTCGGATATGTATATTTGAATGCACTTTTGTTTTTGATGTGTATATTCGGAATTTTTTTTTTCCATGTTTTAATCACTTAAACGTTGAATTTAAAATTTTAGAGGTTGTTTCAGATATACATATTCGAAATCATCTGAGATTATATCAACAAAAGTTTCGGATACGCATACCAAAAACTTCTTCTATTTGTGTCATTTTTGTTTAAAACATCAACATTACCTATATCGGACAAACGGACAAAAAAATGATACAATTTAAAAGAAAAATGAAATGAACATAACAATACAGACATAAAAATTAGATTATATTTTCAGACATAGGAAAACATAATTTAGTGCATAAGTTGTTTAGAAATTGCGTAATGTCAAAATATTACATTAGTTACAAAAAACAAAATATAACATAGACTACTGCTACTACGTATTGCCTAATCCTAACCCCTTGCGACCTCCCCTGCCTTCTATATTGCGCCGCACTGAATGTCTTCCTAACCATCCTCTCAACGATGACAACCGCCTCAAGACCACTCATCTCGATAATTCTAGAATTCAATGCCTCTTGCCCAAGAAGGTGGGTGCTTTGACAGATCGACAAGAGATCAGTGGCATGGTCATTCTCGGTCTGCTGGTTCTCTAAGAGCTCCTCATGAGTTGGTCTAGGTGGGCGTCCAGAACCATCTGGTGTCATGATAGGGTGTGGCACGTTAAAGAACCATGTCATGTAACCCTCTACACAATGCTAACTCTGGGATGCCGGTATCTTCAGACACTTCTGTGGCACCAAATGATTCTCCTAATCCTGAAAGATGTCATCGAGTTCCCGCTGAATCATGGTGTAGGGAGCAGGCTTAAAAGGAGATCTCAGTATCTTCTTCACATATACCTAAATTGTCGGATACACCGCTCTGGAAGATACATGACCATAAGATTTGATCCACATGCTAGCCACCCAGAGTATGATGAGATGGGATCGAATGGAACAACATTCGTGTAATCCTCGAATGGGTCCATTTAATGTCATCATAATTAGTATGATCAAGATACACCTGGTAAGGCAACACTTTATGATTTCCTCTATGGAGGACATACTTTGCAGCCATCAGCATGTCGTCAGTAAAAGCCGAATCACGCTCGAAACCATAGATGCGGTGGAAGTGGGAGATTATTCAGCTCTGAAACAACAATTAGATAATATGTAAGTACAAATTATAAAAAACAAATTAACGTTAATAGTTAAAATGAAAGGTACCGTGAGGAGTGTGCAAGATTTAATGAGCTGTCTCGTCCTCCAGTTTGAAACTTCATTCAGTTTCTGGTAGAGGTATACCAAAATGGAGGTCTCCCAGTGATCCGCTGTCGCACACAGATCAAAAATGAGTATTTTGTAAAATGCAGTATAGCAACAATGGCTCGAGTCGTATCGCAAGGATTCTTGATTTTATTATTAACTAATAGAAGTCGAATGGGGGTTGGTTTTAGGATCGATTTATAACACGAAATAAGTGATTAAAATAAGTGATTTGATAACGAGAAATCGTATCGTATAATTGCTATGTTTTTCGTCTGTTTTCATACTACATTAATCCATTTAACTCCCAATTGTTCTGAGTTTTTATGTCTTTTCACAGGTACAACATGTTTCAAGTCAATTTAGTGAAAAAAGATCATAGGAAGAAAGTTAACATGAAAATCAGAAGAAAAGGAACAAATCTGCAAAATTCTGCAGATTTTGATGTTGTGACGGTCGTCATGGGAGTGTGACGACCGTAACGCGCGTAGTTCATGAAGAGTGCTCGTCACACAGCATTGACGAACGTAACGCGCTATTTAAGCGTCTTACGACCGTCACCTTAGCCTTACGACCGTTACACGCTTAAAACTAACGTTATGGAGAACGTGGAGACGTGGGCAACGTAATGGAAGGATTTTTCAAATACTCATACAATCTCTCAACCTCAAAAACGCCCAGTCCTGATTTTTCTCCACAATTGAAGTGCAGTCCACGTTCTTGTTTCAACTATCAATTTCTCCTCTATAAATAGGAGATATTTCAATGAAGGAGGGGGAGGGTTTTTTACAGAATTTCTTGCGGAAGCCCTGGCAAATTTACGAACCATCAGTTTGCATTTTTATGTTCTTGTTTTATTTCCCTCTTACCATTTAATAGCTATTTCCAACATTAGGAAATTGCTATTGTAGTTAGAATTTATTTTTAGCCTCAAAATTCGTTTCAAGTTCCGATTCCGAAGGTTCCAATCTTGCCGACTTGTGGAAGAGGGAGCTTGAGGAATAATATTATAATTCAGGTTTTTAATCGCATTTAATTTAACTTTAATACAATTTGCTTATGTTAAATTACTGTTATTTATTTATCTTGAATGTTTTATTGTTTCCCGAATATATTTCCTGTCTGTCTGTTTCAAGTACCATGACTAGCTAATTTTCTAGAGTCGGGATGTGATAATAGTAACTAAATGGATTAAATTGTTCCTAAGCTAAATTCTAAATTAACTTAATTTCTGGCTGTGACTTTTTATAATTAAAATCAATCTTTTTGTTACGAGAGTAAAAAAGATAGAATAGGTTAGGATCGAGACCACGAGAATGTGAGGTTTTAACCAGATAGCTAAAGTTAGGCATTTGATTTAAATACAGCGAGAGCGCTTTAAAACGAATTAGATTTTATTAAGTTTTCAAAAAGTATTTTCTAAACACTTATGGGCTAGCGAGAGCAGGCATAAGGCTTTAGGGGTATAATTCGAGATAAGACCACGAAAGTGTGAGTTGAGGGTTTTTAAACTGATAATTTCTACAGAACCATCTAAGTTAAACATCTTTATATGCTTAGGTTCGATTAAATCCACTTAGTTTCACTATATTACATACCGAACGTTTTAATATTATTATTATTGCCTTAGTTCGATTTAGTTTTCCTCTACTTTAATTTCCCCCCAAAATCCAATTATTCATTAGCCTTAGCTTTACAAAGTAGCGATAGATTGCAGTAGGTTGACATTGGTCTGTGGTTCGACAATCTTTTATATTACTTCGATATTTCCGTGCACTTGTGGAATATACCCATCAAGTTTTTGGCTCCGTTGCCGGGGACCAACAGTCAATATTGTTATTCCGTTGTTGCACCATATAGACTAAGGCATTCTTGTCCCAATTACTATGTATCACCCAAATTTTTTCTACAACTCCCACTCCGAGTATTTCGAGGAATCACAAGAATCCTATAAATCCGACCTCGAAATACTATTGGATAATTTCAATGCGTCACAAACTCATTCTCACCCGAATTACCTTTCCAACTATCAATCCCAAAATTTTGAGGAATCGCAAGAATATTATAATTCCAACCAAACTTATCCTCAACCAAATTTCCCCTACAATCACTACACTCAATATTTCAAGGAGACGCAAGTATCCTATAAATCCGATCTCAAAATATTAATGGAAAATTTTAATGAAATATCAATGATGACAAAGCGCTTTGTGGAAACACAAAATGCGACTCTAAGTCACTTTGAAGAATCAGAAGAATCGCATGATTTCAACTTCGAAACATCAATGGAGGATTCTGACGCGACGCTAATTCACTCTAGGTTAGAATCTCTTATGGAGCACTTTGTAGAGACACAAACTGTCCAGAACGAAGAGTTTAGAAAACAAAGTATTCAAAACAGTGAAAACCTTAGGTAACTGACCACTGTGGTTGAGTCGCTCGCGACTCACAACATAGCCTTAGAGACTCAAATCTCCCAGCTTGAACAAAACCCTCTAGGACCCTTGCCTGAGGATAAATTGGATGTTGTAACAACCAGTAGTGAAAAACAAGTTGAAAATCCTAAGGAGAGTGATAATGAGGTTGAGGAGAGTGATGATGTGGTTGAGGAGAGTTCAGACGAGAAAAGAGTAAAGATTGAGAAAAATCCTCCAACACCATCTAAAAAGGAGGTTGTAGAAGAGGTAGAGAAGCAAGCATCTATTGTTGTTCCTCATCCACATACCCCACCGATTCCTTTCCCAAAAAGTTTTATGGAAGCTCAGATAGACTCCCAATCTAAAACACATGTGGAGGTATTGGAAAATATCCACACTAATGCACCCTTGTTGGAAGTCTTGCATAAAAAGAGAAAATTAGAGGACCGTGAAACTAGGGATATAATTGTTGTTAAGAGGGTAAGGTTAACCTTTGAGGTGGTGGATGAAATCACTAAGCCCAAACTTGAAAATAGGATACTTAGGATAGATCCAGAACCACCACCACAAGTTCAAAAGAATGCACTACCCCACAAAAGAAAGAAAAGAAAAGGTGAGGGATATG